AAAAAAAAAAAAAATAGAGAAAAAAAAACTTTGGAAATAGATTAGGGGTTGGAAAATGATTCTTTCGTGGGATCAAAAGCCGCAAACTTACACCAAAAACTCGGGATAAAAATCGTTCAGAAAAGTAAGCGAAAAAATCATACCCAAACTAAATCGCTATAACTCAACCTGTCAATAACCGTAGTCAAACGATTTTCTTGTTTTTTTTTCTGAACATCTGAATTTCACTTGTAGCGAAGCAATGAGAGGCGAGGCTTTTTTTTACAGGGATGGTATACTCTCTGTACTGTAATGGTGAAAAAAAAAAACATAAAAATTATTTTGCAAACGTTTAATCTACATTTAAGATCTCTTGAGAAGCTTATCGTCATGAACATGTAATATTGAAAAATAATTTGTACACCGAGCCAGTTTAGACATTCCAATCATGATCCAAGCCCTACATGTAAGAGATCCCATTGGTTTGTTTTGCGTCACGCACATTTTTCTGTCACGCCTTGAGTTCGTAATCACTCCATATTTACAAAGAAACTAAACACCTAGCCGTAACCTGCTTCAAGTATTTGCATAATTCCTGAAGATAGCGCAGTACATTTTTTTAACTGTACCAAATATGGGGTCATGCTCCTGAACAGATACAAACGTCCTTTACTCATTGGAGCATTAAAAATAGCCTTCTTGACCTTCGCGTTCTTGTGTCCGAGGTATTTAGTCCGCTGTTATTAGTAAATATTTTACCTCAGGCGAGTTAATAAGCTCCTTTGACAGCTGAAGTAAAATGTCACATACTGAAGTACACTTTTAAAAGACAATTGGTGTATGTTTTGAAAAAGGTCACAGCTACTTGCTTTACTTATTAAAATAAAACACACTTAGCGAGACTTGGGAAGGTCTGTTCTTCCAGTTCGTGAAGTTTTACATGGATAAATAGTGATATCTACGTGGGCTGAAGCATAGAAGACAAGTTGCATGCAAGTTAGAGCCGGGTGAAAGGCACACTTCACTTGGTGGATGTCATTGAGTCGGACGAAGAATATCCTGAGCCAGATCCTGACTTGCTCGAGCCTCCAGTCTCCAGAAGTAACCGCTCGAACTGATTGACTTTCTCATTTAAGAAACCCAAAACGTCCGTAACGTCTTCCCATTCGCAAGTTATGTCGTCGCTTGAGTTCGACTGTTTGATTGTGGGCGCGATTTGAGCCGGTTGTTTTGGTTTTAAAGAAGCAGTTTGGTTGCTCATGGTATTGATTCCTTGATCCGCTTTTATAGCCGCAAGATCCTTGTTTCGTTTGAACGAGTCCGACCGTTTAGGTGGTTGCGGTCGTCGAATTTCCGTGTCTTTGCCGGTTTCCTTTGCATTATTGTTTACGTCTTTGGTTTCTCGTTTGAGACTCCTCATCTCAGCTTCTTTGGCCTCTTTGCGCAGCTGTCTGCTCTCTGCTTCTTTCTTCTGAAGCGTTCGCTCGTATTTCTTGTTCAGATTGTGCAAGTACCTCACCATTTCCTTTTCCCTCTTCAACTCTGCTTTTAGCTGATTTTGCGTGATTTTAAACCTGTCGTTCTGATACTCGAGTTCCTTCATCTTACGCTGCATATTTTGATTTTCGGTCTTCAGCAAAATAATTATCTTCTCGAGGTTCGCATTTTCTGCTTTCAACAATTTGATAGCCATGTGTAAATTCGATCCTTGTTCAACTGGTGAAGACGTCTTTCTCTCCTTGGTCATGTCTGAGTCCAGAGTGCCTGATTAAAAGCACACTCGGTAACAGAGCTACAACAAACAGTCAAACCATCGAAGTAAGAATCACTCGAGCAAAACGCTGTCATAGTAATCAAATCGGCTGGTATTACACGTGGAGGTATGCATATTTTAAATGACTTCCTTTGAAGCACTTGTTTAGTACCGACCTCAGTTCTGACCCCTTTGTAACTTTCGCTTAAAACTGTGTGACGTCACAAAAGCACACCCTAAGCTCATTTAAGTCTTAAAGAACATGCGGTCGAAAATAAATTTTTTTGATAACAGGCTTGATACTCTTAATTAGAAAGCATACACATCCTACTTAACCACTTGAGGCAACATAAAAAGTTATGTGATCTTTTTTTTGCTCAAACTGGAAAAGCGAAAAAGAGAGCGCGCGATTTTATGACAAATTGATCACGCCTCGAAAGTTAAGCCCTAGCCTGACAGACATGGTAATATCAGTTTAAGTCTCTTAAACTTCGCATTCACTACTCATGTAACTAAATTTGCCTCTCTACCTAAATTTAGATCTTTTTTGATTCAGTGGTTTCCTTCCTTTCTTCAGAGTTTCGCACCGACTTTATTTATCCGACATAGCATGTGTACCCCCGACTGATCTTTGTCCAGTGGCGATCACTTAACTCTTTTATTTAAACCAACTAAGAAAGCCAATATAATACCCAATATTGCTTGTGTTTGAAAATTAATGTAAATAGCCTTACCATGGAAGATTAACACAAACAGACCAAGATCAAGATTGCTAAACTCAAACAACGAGCGCAAATCTTTGTATTTACATTTTTCGTGATCTATTTATATGTTTGGTATGTGTCAAGATAACCGCGTTTAGATTTCATGACCAAAACATGTCAAGATGTCACATTCAACGATTCAGAAGTGTTATAAGAGGAGAGCTTTTTCATGAAAGACTTTTCTGGAATAAGACGACGTGATAATGATTTGTATCTGGTGGTCGAAATAAGAACAAAGTACAATAATTATTTCGGCATTTCCGACATTCTGGCCCAACTCTGCAGGCGATAAGAAGTGGAGCAAAACAATAAATGTTAAAACTTAGAAGTGGGCAGAAGCAATTTTTTTGTTTCCCTCTTCTACTAAAGCTCCAAAGTCAAGTTGGGATAATCTTTGTTTACATAACTGTACTGGAATTTAATTTTGAGGTTTATCTCAACTGTGTCAGATCAAAGTTTAATCGTTTTGCTGAAAACCCACGCGATCTATACTTCTCGTCTTTGGCATTATTTTACCCAAAGCGTCGACAATATGGCAGAAATTCAATACTTCGTTGAAATACAAGTAAAAGACTGTCGCAGTACAGTGAATTATATTGCAGCATCTGGGGCAAACATGACGCGATTATTGAATTCGGATGACCGCGTGGGCTAAAAACGGAAATCCAATTGTCTGCATAATGCGATGATTTCTGAGGTTTGCATTTCTTGAATGAAAGTTGGTGAAACCTTGCTTCAGTGCACTATATTTAACTCTGTAAGATATAGCGTTTCAAAACTTGTGCAGTAGAATTGACCTTGACCGTTTGCTAAATAAAGGGACACATTGATCAGCAGTGCCGCGCCGGCGTCGTGTCGCCAAAACACCCACGAAATAATCAGTTGTTTCCGTTGATCTCGCGGACATCTTTTGGCAGCAGACAAACATATGGAAGCGATTAAAAAAAAATTAAAATATATAAATTAAAAAAAGAAAGTAAATGGGTCTTTCTGTTAGCAGCGTTCTAGACACCCATGGTTCATCTTCATGTTGTATTTTTTTTTTTTCTGTTTTTGTGCCCTGTTGAAAGTATTGATATGGCGTTGTTAACCAATGAATAGGGCTTGAAAGAACTCGAGCAAAAGAAATGTAAGAATTCTCATTCACTAAAGTGGTGGAAGGAAAGAAAAAGCACGACATCCAGCAGCTAAAGCCAAACCTTAATGCATGGTATAGGGATCATTTTAGATTGACCGTAACCCTTGTGAAGTGTTATATGTGTGCACTGTATTCATGGAAGACGACTTGGTTGTGAAGCCACCTGGGCTGAATTTACAACTCTATCATACGTTTGAGATTGAACCGATAAAAGGTACTTTTTGTGCTGGAGAAACAGATAAATTTCTAGCAGACAGTTCAAGCGATCTTGGATTATGTCTTCTATTTTTAGTCTTTTGGTCAAGTTAACGACTAATGGTCAGTCGATAGTCGGCATACAATAAATAGACCAATAGTCGACCCATAAACGAGCTAATAGCTGGCTGATAGCCGAACGATAAAGAAACTTAATCGGCCGATGGTTGACTGACACACGACCCATAGTTAGTCGATTTCGCGATCGATGTGTCCACCGACCATCTGGATGTCACAGTCGAGGTATCCACCGACTAACTGGACAACGAGACTTTATTGGTCGACTGGTGACCGATCCGTCCAAGTTGTCTGTATTATCCGCTATTTACTTGCTTTTGTGATCAGATTAGATGATCACAGTGTAGTAACTACTGGAGTGACTTCCATCCGGCTGAAACGTCACCATTATAAGTGGGCTGCAAAAAAAGAACAATTTTCGCAATGGGCAGTGTACAGTTAGGGCTTTATTAGTGATCAAGGTCTGATGTCTTCGTTGTCTCTTGAAGTTGGATGGAAGTAACTGGATGGATGAGATTGCTGCTATAATTATTCTGAAAAAATCATCAAGATAAAGGATAGAAAAATTGATGTACAGAGGGCCAACAAAGGAAAATTCAACAACTTCTGCAATTAGTCAGAGGACTCAAAAATAAAATTGTCCCTACGAGAGTTGTTCAGTTGTCTAGCTATTTCAACAGAATTTCTATATGAGGTATCAAGGACAAGGAAGTTTGTCGCCATCCGTTCTTTAACTGCTGTAAGAGACAAATGCCTGCAGTTTTGAGGTCGGAAACAATATGTGAAAGGTCTAAATGGGTGGGGCACGTGGAGACCGTGTGTTCTTTGTCGTCATTTTACCCATTTTACCCTGACAAGGCTCTCATTTGTATGACAAGTCTGCATTCCTGGTGTCCAGGCGTTATTCAGTGAATGTCGAAGCCAGGTTCATAAACTTATGTTGGAGTTTTGAAGTGCCTGTTGAACTACTTTTACGTCATGTGAACTTTTAGATTTTGTCGCCAACTGACATATTCCTCTTAAGTACCTTAAATGAGCCATGATCTTGACCTGTAACATGGAAAGATTAGCTGTGAATTCGCCTCACATCCTTTTAAATACGTATGCAATTTCTATTACTGCTCATCACAGGAGCCTCTTGAAGGAGCTGATTACCTGCCCTGCCCTTGCTGTATCATCAGAAAGACGGTTCCGATTTTATCTCAGCTGTCTTCTGCAACGCATCTATGCTGACGAGGTTTTCGCCGATTGAAGTTTTTCAGCCTCAGCACAAATTTCACGTAGGAATTTTTAACTTTCGTCAATATTGTTTTTCCTTTTTTTTATTCCATGCTCATCTGGCTTCCTTCTTGCTCCACGTTCAAAAATTTCCCTTCGTTATCTGGTGCTCTTACAATAATCATTTTTATAATACTTGCTGTCAACTCCTAGGAGGATTTCATCTTGCTGCGTTCCGTAAAATTTCATTAGTCCAGTACCTTCCTCGTTTTATCAGTCTTACCGTTAAGTTCAGTAAATCAAAGAAATCCAGGACGGATTCTTCATGAGTTTAAACGAGGATAACCTTTAAGTCCCTAAGTCTGTACCTTGTTCTCTTTTCAACGCTATAAAAAAATTTCAAGCCAAACAAGGGTAATTGCGTCCATTCGGCAGTTCAAAACCATGATCTTCGACATGAAATTAAAGCAGTAGCAGATACGAAACACTTTGCAAATCCTAAATTTCAAAGAAAGGACAAAAGGTTTTAGCCAGACAGTCGAGAGGAAATGTTCAAATACTTCAGTTATCGGACAGTGCGTAAGACAGAGTTAAAACATGGTTATAGCCTTGTTTCGAAGCCCTTATCTCGTGTTGTGTTCTCTTGCTGTGTGCAAGGCCCTGGCGCTTCAATTTCTGCCGGCGTACATCTTGGAGTGTTCGGATTTGAAGAGTGAGAGGGATGCCTTTGTGCACGGAGATTGTGTAGTTTCCTTTTAAATTCTCTCCGAACCTAAAGTTGGACATAAGATAATGTTACGTAGATAAAAGTAAATGATTTACTGATTACTGAGTTTTTTCGACTTTCAGTGTCGGTGTCAGTTGAAGTCACTGATCCTTTTGTACCCGAAAAACTCATGTCTGACTCACCTCTGAATTTTTCAAGCAGTAGAGGAGAAAAATAAGGAAACCCTGGTGAAAAACAATTGATTTATAGATAAACGAATCATTTAAACAGGAAAATGGATGAATGAATAGACAGATCGATAGATAAATTTTTTCAACCCCGGTAACTTTGTTAAAAATTGCAGAGACAAAAGCCGTGAACTACTGAAATCAAATAAAGTCGAAAAAAAAAAATAAACATAAACTTTCTTTGTCGGTACCTAACGCGTGAAGTGTTTCATTAAAATCATGGATAGATGGACGGAATGGTTAAGAGATGGTTAATAGATGAATGGATTAATGGATAAAGCCGATGAAAATAATGTGATCGAAATAGGAAGAATAGGCCAGATAGGAGATCGATAAAATCTGAAGTAGCCGCGAGTTTCAGAGACACTGCCGCTTCGTCTTTTTATCTAATGGCAGAACTTTATTGCTGCGATTTATATCAGTTTGACTGAGTGCAACAGTTGACACTGATGTTGTTTTATCAGAGAGACGTATGTATATGGTGTACGCCTTAAAACATCTTACCTGCAAGGAATTGAGTATTGCAAAAATGTATTCAAATAGTACGGAGTCATTGTTGACAGCGAGAAGACCAAACACCCATGTCAGGCCCAGAATAGGAAGAAGGGTAATGAAAGCTTTTGTCAAAGACCTTCAAAGAAAAAAATAGGAAAAGTTGATTAAACAAAGGACTGTATCTGTAATTGATAATTTCACTGGACAATCCTCTGCGTGAGTAAAAAGGTAGTAGTTCTCTTCGGCGAGCAACTCAGTCGAAAGGGAAAAATAAATGATTGGAAGACGGAGAGAGAGAGACAGAAGACTGAGAAACAAAGAGGTAACTTTATATGCTAAAAGGCATTTAGAAAGACAGATAGGCAAACACACAGAAATATAGACAGACACATAGGCACATCAACTTATTTTCAAGGTTTAGACTATATATTAACAAATGCAAACAGACACAGACAGATACAGGCAGACTGACAGAAAGATAGACACTCACTGACAGACTGCCAAGAAGGCAAGCAGACTGCCAAGAAGGCAAGCAGACTGCCAAGAAGGCAAGCAGACTGCCACCGACCGGGAGACAGGCAAAGACCAAACCTATGTTGGATTTTATCATTTACCTGACACTGGATGGCGTCTCTTCATTTAACATTCTAGATGTAACACTCATCACCATGGTAACAATGACCAGATTAAACTGCAGAAATGACGACAAAAAATGGTATGATTTGCAGTGGGTAAATAAAACAATTAGGGCATAACCAATTAAAATAAAACTGAAGGTAATCGAAAGTTAATGTTAGAAAAATCATGGTGATTCTAGTTAAAGTACCAGCATGACGAAGATAACTGGACCAACAAAACTCCAAATGGCTCCAGTCTCAATTGAAAGCCAGCATCTGCGAACAGGACATGAAAGAAGTGTCAAAATCAGTAACCTAGTTAAGCGCAACCCCGAAAATGGTTATTTATCTTCTTTATCATATATAGATAAAGATTATGCCATATCAATTTACATAAATTTTTCCTTTTGATTTTCAACTAATTAGCTTTAAATTTTTGTTTGCTTCTAGAGATGCTGATCATGTTCCTTTACCCTGACAGATTTGCGTAGCTTCGTTGCGTTCTTGATCAACAAGTACAATAAACTTACAGATCGTTGGAGAGGAGTCCCCTTTGAAAAACGGAAACCACAACCACAGTTACGATAAATGGGAAACCTTTCGAAGATAATTGAAAGTATAAGTGATTAATGAAAACATACATTCATAACTTAGTGCAGTTTTGATATCGAAGCACTGGCTTAAACTTGCCAAGCTATTTCAATGTTTCTGATGCATGCAATGATGTATTCAAACTCCCTACTTCCCCAACCATCTTTTGCTCCCCGAAGGTTCATTACATTTGCAAAAATTAGCAAACGGTTAGCACTAAAATGGGAAACTTGTGGGCAGCAAAGATCAAAAAGTGCTAAGTTAAATGCGATTGTCCCTTGCTTAGTACAGTCCAAATATTATTATCCAACATTTTTTCCAACAAAAAAAAGAATAAAGAAAAATAAAGAGAAATGTAAGAAAACGAATAAAGGTTTCTTACCCCATCCTATAAGCAAATAAAAAAGCTTCCTTGTTCTCCCAGAATCAAAGACTCTGACTACCGTGAAATAGATATGAAGGCCTTCTGCTAACATCCACGAGAAAACACATAACAACAAGAAAAGGAGGCTAACTGCAATGACGTAACAGGCCACCTGCAACGTACAAATGGTTTTGTCAAAATCTCTACTTATTGACAAGAATGAAACTCGAGGAAAGAGTTCAGTAAAACATGACATCAGAATTAACGCTTACTCTCGGATTTGTAAAGGATTACCACTCCCATAGTTTCAACCAAAATTTAAAAGTTTGACGTACCATTTCTGTCGCTCGACCACAGAAAATCAAATCGTTTAGTTGAGCGTCCATCCACGTTGATGATATTTGTGAATGGAAAAATGTTCTCATGTACTTATTTTACCTTCAGGAATTGTTACGCTGTCAGTAACTTACCCTTGATGTTCGAGGGCTCACTGCAAACGCTGCAACTAGAAACAACACTTGGGCCACAACAAGAGCAGTCACCAAATTCATGTGAATTAGAATTCTCTGCGATCGAACACTCCTGTAAAATGTACAAATAAGAAAGCGATCAACCAAAAGGGAAAGCGGGAAATGGAACCTATAATGGTTCCTATAATTTACCCGATAAATTATTAGTTTTTTCCCTATGTAAAATGAGTAATCAAATGAGATTTTTTAAGGCAGAATTGAGAGAGCAGAAGAGTTATAATATGCTAGCTATGCTACTTACTTTATTTCCATGGTCGGACTTCATACTTACGGTAATAATGAATAGGTAAGGATTGTCAGGAGGCATCCAAGGACTGACAGACCACACCCTACATAGGTGATGATCGAAAGAGGTAACTCGTGTTCTTTGCTGGGCTGAACAAAGAAAACAAATAAAAATATGAAAAACAAATGACGACATGGGAAGAAATTACTCTGTAAGAGATCTTATTTATTAAACTGAATGGAAAAGAAACTTTTCTTTCTTGGCTCTCTCTCTACCAAAGAGTATACATGGACAATGCCGCAAGCTGTCCTTGAAACTTGAAGGATTGCGGAAAGGTTATCTTTGATGGACTAACATCGTTGGATGTGAGCAATAACAATACCCTCAGATCCTTTATGCTACGGTAATTATGATGCGCTTAGTCAGTATACTAGATCACAGAGACTGAAATCTTGATCTTAAATGGTTCCCCTTGTTTTCATCTAAAGGTTATGCTCAGTTGCGTTTTACCTGATGTGGAGTGACCCTTGTAAGAACTGCAAAACTAGTTAAGTGATTACAATGGCACGTGACTGTAGAAGAGTTTCTTTGGGTAACTTGACAACCTTCTGTCGACCAATTACCGTGGTTATTTCTAAATGAGAATTAAAAATGAATTTAAACTCTCATCAATACACCTTAAGGAAAAATGCTCCCACACTGAAGTACATTACAGTTAGGTGCATATTTTTACTCGTCGAGAGTCTGAGTGAGTGGGTAAGTGAGTCTGCAAGCCAGTGAACCAACTATAAAGTAAGTCAATCAGAGAGCCAACCCGTCAGTCAATCGGTTAACCAGTGATTTGCTGAACGAGTCAGTGATCAGTGCGTCATCAGTCATGGGGTCAATCAGTCACAGTCAATCAGTCGGTAAGTGAGATAGTCAGTAAATCGGCTAGCCAGTCCATTAATAAGCCAGAGATAAGGGGGTCAGTCAGGTATTAAAGGAGACAACACATATATTTTTCATTATAGATTTGCAACTTACTTCTGACCTTGATCCCAGAATACACAGTCTACGTTGCTTTGAATGTCCTATTGGTCGATGTGCGAAATCAGAAAAACGTTAGGGAGTTCAAACTTTGAACTAGAAACAGAATGTAGTATATTCAAAGCATTTGAAGTAGAATTTTTTACCTGAGATGGCCAAAACGTCATCTCCACTGGTCTCTCAAACTCTTGAGTGCGATGTGGTTTTACAACGATGTTCATAATACGACTTCTCACCACGATTTCACTAAAAAGGATAAAGCGTTTTTTTTTTTGTTACTTGTCAAGTTATATATACTTTGAAAATTCATGATGCCATGGATGATATTGTAAATGGCTATATCTTTTAAAGGTAAAATAGCATTAGACAGAGTTGCCTTCTCACTTGTGATGAGAATAAAGTAAGTTCCAACAAAAACTGAGATCCAGCGTCTGGAAGAAATTATTAATTAAGCTACTCCTGACAAGCACTTACGAAGAGTCATCCATCGCCGTCAATGGATCGAACATCATCCACACAGCCTGTCCAAGAACTGCGGCAAAATATGTCAAGTTAGATCTATTTTCAATTAACTAATTACACATAGTAAGCGAGTGGGTGGGATTTTTCAAAATTTAAACAAACGGTATTACCGGAGGAAAAGAAATTCTCCCCAAGGGAGTGATACTGGTAGATTTCTTTCAATGTAAATGATCACTGTGTGGTGGGTGGTGGGGCGACTATTGCTTTCATAAAGTAGAAGCGGTTGCTCTTAAGTTTTATATTATCGCTTTTTGCTTTTATATTGCTTTAAATTCTCAAAAAATATACATACTAGAAGAGGCTCCTGTAGGAGGCTCCCATTCATAAAGTCATTAATTATTATACCTGACGTATTAGAAGCAAAAGCCTCTAGAGGAATCACGACTCTACCAATCTGCTCCAAGGAACTGACTTCGTAAGACCTGTTAGGGTTGTCCGGCAAACTTAACTGTTCCAGTTGTGTTAGATTGACAGATGCCACTTCAATGTCTAGCGAAAAAATTGATGCAGGGTTAGCTGTTTTACCTACAACTGATATAGTGTAAGTCTTGGGGTACTCATTTTTCTTCTACCTGATTTTATTGGTGTCCACCTACTCTCACATACCCTGACCAGGGCAATGGGTTTACATAACAAAAAAGAACCTCTAGAATAAAATGACGTCTTCATTGAACATTGCTTGCTCCTCGTCCCAAGTACTTTTGTTACCGATGTTAAAAGGTCACGAAAACAAGTTTTTTCTATTCAGATATTTCCGTGAAAAAAAAAATACTCACCTACTTTCCCAGAGGAAAGTGTCTTAGTTTTGTAACCAGAACTTGTCGGTACCAGTTGTTCTGCTACTGTGAGGCCGATAGTTTCGACTTTTTTCACTAACATAAATTCTATTCCGCGCTGACGAATTTTAAGAAAATACAAAATTATTAGCACATCATGTCAATCACAAGATACTGATTCTGAAAAAGGACTCATTAAACCCGTGAGATGCTCTTAATGTGGCCATGGTGTAATTTTTTAACTCTTTTAATCTGAACGCCAAGGAATATTGAGTGGTACTAAACTTACTTTGTAAAAAATAATTAAGGGTGAATAGCTATCTGCCTTTTTATAATTAGCAAGACAAAATATCACCTGGGATAATGTAAAAAGGAGAAAGGAGCTTCAGTGAGTTCATTGACGGACTCACACATCCATTACTTGACGATCTAATTTTATTCTTTGCTCTATCGTGTAGGAGCTCATTATCATCTATAACTACGACTGTTTAACTCACTAAGGCAGACAAAGGTAGACAGGTACGAAAAGTAAAACTTGCCTCTGAGGCGTTTGGTATTCTGTGACTCTCAGCGAGGAGGTCGCCAGCTAAGCTGATATAGCTCTGCAAGCGAAAAAATAATGATAACAACAATGATAATGATAATAATAATGATAATAATAATAATAATAATAATAATCGTATTTACTCGACTTGAACCAAAATGAGCATCTTTAAATCGATCACTTATACCCTGAAGAGATCGAAGGGAGTATAACTGAACCGCACGAGTTACTCAGCAAATGCATGTCAAGGGACCGATTCAGCAGCATACAGAAGACACGGAATCAGTTACAAGTACTGGATCAAAGGGTATAGCATCAAGCAAGGAGCTCGAGGAAATAGCAGCTCTATTTGTAACGCTTGGGGAGCAAAAGAGGTTCAAACAAGTACAAGTTCTCCGAGTCAAGAGAAATTTCGCGTCAAAACTTAGACTGCGTGACGAGCACAGTGAATGGGCAGCATATTCCGATAGGGACAGCATATGAATATTAAGTGTACTACCGCATGTTTTTACACATAAGACTCCCTTCAAGGGGGCGATACTCCAAAAAAAAAAAAAAATTGGAACTTCACACACGATCTTAGGCGTGTCTGGTGACTTAATTGTCTTTACTTCCTCATGATGAAACAGCAAGGAAGCAAAGAAACCATGATTTTCAAAAATATCTGAAACACGGATACAAACTTACCTTAACGTTAACGATATCGTCTGGGTCGATCAACGAAACATTAAAACTTAAAACATCATCAAGATCTGTGAAGAAACAAATCCATACCTGAAGCTCTCAATGAACAAAGAAATTTTTATTAAAGTTTGATAAAGTGCCGAGCCTTGCTCTGCTAATGCATGGGCACAATTTGGAATACCTCTCTCAAGTTCTTCCACTGTCCGTCGACTGTTAATCCGACTATGGACTGACGACTTTACAAGGACAGTTGCGCTCACTGTAATGGTGGCCACTGCTGAACTGTGTCTGTAGATAGTTTCCGTTGAGATATTCTCGGCTGGAACAGAAAAATGGTAATAAATAAGTTTTTAAAATCTCATTTCGCTTCCTAATTAATTTAACAAAGTAAAACCTAACCCTTGAAATTTCTCCGTGCATTACTTCATAAAGTCAGTGATCAAAAAGAACCAGATTATGAACTCAAGATATTTATCCCGCGAATGATAATGCTATTAATCAAAGAAAACGAGAGCGAATCGGTACTTTAACTGAAAACAAACAGGGCGCGAGACATGCCCTAACGAAACAATAAAAATCAAACCAAACATAACGTCACCGACAATATAAAAGATTCTAACGAGATACTAACGTAACAAACAATGAAGCAGAGCTTAGAGAAAACAGTACGCGAGATACTAACTTAACAAACAATCAAATAGAACTTAAAGGAATCATTGCGCGAGATACTTACGTTACAAACAATCAAATAGAACTAAGAGAGAACAGTGCGCGAGATACTAACGTAACAAACAATCAAACAGGGCACAGAGCAAAATGTGCGTGAGATACTAACATACAAAACAATCAAACAAAGCACAGAACAAAAAGTGTGTGAGATACTGAAATAACAAACAATCTTAAAGAACACAAAGAAAACAGTGCGCGAGATACAAAAGTGGCAAATAATCAAACAGAGCACAGGGGAAAAAGTGTGTGAGATACCCACGTGGCAAAAATAGGAAAGAACACAGAGAAAACGAGGCGCAAGACACCAACGTGGTAAATAATCAAACACAACACAGGGGAAATAGTGCGCGAGATACTAACGTAACAAACAATCAAACTGAACTCATAGAAAACAGTGTGCAAGATACAAACCTAACAAACAATCAAATAAAATTCAGAGGAAACGGTGCGCGAGATACTAACGTAGCAAACAATCAAACAGACTGACAAGGGAAACAGTGCGCAAGATACCAACGTAACAAACAATCAAACAGAATTCAGAAAAAAACAATGACTGAGATACTAACGTAACAAAAAATCAAATAGAATTCAGAGAAAAAACAGTGCGCGAGATACTGACGCGACGAAAAATCAAACAAAACACAAGGGAAACAGTGCGCAAGATACTAGCGCAACAAGCAATCAAACAGAACTCAGAGAAAACAGTGCACAAGATACTAACGTAACAATCAAACAAAGGGAACTCAGAGAAAACAGTGCCGGGAATACCAACAAAAAACAATCAAACAAAGCACAGAGCAAAATAGTGCGCGAGATATTAACGTAACGAACAATTAAAGGGAAACGGAGAAGTCAGCGCGCGAGATACAAACGTAACAAACAATCAAATTGAACTCAGAGGAAACAGTGCGGGAGATATCATTGTAGCAAACAACCAAACTAAACTCAGAGAAAACAGTGCACGAGATCCTAACGTAACAAACAATCAAGCTGAACTCAGAGAAAACAGTGCGCGAGACACTAAGTATCAAACAGAACTCAGGAAACGGTGAGCGCAATACTAACGTGGAAAACAATCAAACTGACCTAAAAAAAAACAATGCGTGAGATACTAACGTTACAAACAATCAAATAGAATTCAAAGAAAACGGTGCTCGAGATACTAACGTACAAACAATCAAACTGAAGTCAAAGAAAACAGTGCGCGAGATACTAACGTAACAAAGAATCAAACAGAACACAGAAAAGATAGTGCACGAGATACTAACATAACAAACAATCAAACAGAACACAGAGGAAATAGTGCGCGAGATGCTAAGTTAACAATAAATCGGACAGAATTCAGAGAAAACAGTGCGTGAGATACTAACGTAACAAACAGTCAAATAGAATCCGGGAAAACGGTGCACAGGATACTAACGTGACAAACAAGCAAACAGAACACAGAGAAAACAGTGCGCAAGATACTAAGGTAGCAAACAATCAAACAGAACTTAGAGAAAACAGTACGCGAGATACTGACGTAACAAACAATCAAACAGCACAAAGAATAAACAGTGCGCGAGATATTAACATAAAAAATCAAACAGAGATAATAATATAACAAACAATTAAAGAGAACATAGGGAAAATAGTGCGCGAGATACTAACGTAATAACGAATCAAACAGAATTCAGAGAAAACAGTGCGCGAGATACTAACGTGACAAACAATCAAAGAGAATACAGAGAAAACGGTGCGCGATATACCTACGTAACAAACAATCAATCAGAACTCAGAAAAAAGCAGTGCAGGAGATACTAACGTAACAAACATAGAATTCAGAGAAAACGGTGCGCGAGATACTTACATTACAAACAATCAAACAGAACACAGAGAAAACAGTGTGCGAGATACTAACATAACAAACAATCAAACAGAACCTAGGGAAAACAGCGGCGGGTATGCTAACATAAAAAACAATCAAACAGAGCAAAGAGCAAATAATGCGTGAGATATTAACGCAACGAACAGTTAAAGAGAACATAGGGAAAAGATTGCGCGAGATGCTAACGTTACAAACAATCAAGCAGGACTCAGAGAAAATAATGCGTGAGATACTAACGTAACAAACAATCAAACAGAACTTAGAGAAGACAGTAAGCGAGATATTAGCGTAACAAACAATCAAACAGAACTCAGAGTAAACAGTGCGCGAGATACTAATGTAACAAACAATCAAATAGAATTCAGAGGAAACGGTGCGCGACATACTTACGCAACGAACAATCAAACAGAACACCGTGAAAACATTGCGTGAGATACTAACGTAACAAAGAATCACACAGAACTTAGAGTAAACAGTGCACGAGATACTGAGATAACAAACAATCAAACAGAACACAGGGAAAAAGTGCGCGAGATACTAACATAACAAACAATCAAACAGAACACAGAGAAAACAGTGCGCGAGACACTAACATAGCAAACAATCAAACGGAACAGAGAGAAAATAGTGCGCGAGATACTAACGTAACAAATAATCAAACAGAAGACAGGAGAAACAGTGTTTGATACACTAACGTCACAAACTGCTAGTCGTACAAGACATAATAACAAGACAGGACCACGTTGTAACCTTATTTCGTCCCAGCTGTGTATTGTCAAGCTTATTTACCTCCGTCTATAAGGGCGAGTGACGTTGCTTATCAGATTGCAGCATTTGTGTTAGAATGTTAGTAGGTTTATACAAAGTGGGAACATACGCGCGAAATATCAAAACTATGAAGTTAACTTTAAAGATCATAGCTAGAGCCTAAAAGTAGATTGTGGAGCTCAGTGGATTGTAAAAGATTTAACTTTAGCTTTCTTTTTAGCAGTGAGACAAAAATGTTCGTTTACATACCATAAACTGACGGAGTGTGCCAGTACAGGCTTGTAACGTTCTTCGATAAACTAGAACTTGCTACAACTTCTGATGTTGATAGTAAAAGACTGGCAGCTTTTGAGCTGAAGTCAGATTTTCTTGCTGATGGTGCTATCAAGTGATCGAGAGAGAAAAATATTGTTATTCAACGTTAAATCATACTATGGCTAGCATTCACAAATATATCAAGTTGTGCATCATCTTGGCTATAAACAGGTTTACCTTGACAAATGAGATCGACAATCCACGGAAGCTTGTTCGTGATATGAGTCGCTTCTCCAGTAAATACGTTATGCTTGTCCTCTACCAGACTCAGAAAGTCTTCTTCTTTACTCTTGTTTCTCATTGCAACCACTGACATCAAAATGCGTTTACTCAAAGCGCTGCTCACTAAGTTCTGCATCGAATCGTTTTGGGTGACGTTTTCAGCAAAAGTCAACACAATGAAAGCCTTAGACGATAATACACTTGTCCTACTTTCGGCATGAAAGGTTATCAGTGCTGTCTCGTACAGTTTAGCGAAATGTACCACGGAACTCTCTTTTAAATCATTCTTGATACTGGCAACTTCCTTCAAAAGGTTGCTTAACTCCTTGAACTCATGAAATCCAAATTTAAGATGGGCTTCATTCCCGTATGCTATCAATGCAACGCGTACATTATCAGGAGATATCTGAAAGGACTTGATAATGTTCTGTATGAAAGTTAACTGTTGCTCAAACTCGCTCTCAGAATGACGCGATTCCACTGCAAAGACTATGTCAACTGGGCCAGAACACACTGCAAAAATAAATGAAAATTTTTAATACTTTTTAAGCATAAAGTAAACTGATGGAAACAAATAAAACAAATGAAAGAAATAAAAAGTAGCTGAAAAAAATGAGTAAAAATCAATCATATAGGGTTTTATTTGAAAGACAACAAGTCTGGAAATCTCCTTTATTAGGTCGATGGTTATATTCGTCTCACAAGGAATTTGTATTGCATATGATCATGCGCTTACTGATAACCAAAGGTTAGCGGTCTCAAGTAAAATGATTTTAAAAAGCTGATTGAGCGCATAAACTGTTAAACATACCGGAATGTTGCATTTCTATATAGACAACACCTTCAGCACCCATTCCTCCAGAGTAAATTAAAGGTCCGCTGTGTAAGTAAACTGCACCTCCGCCTCCGCCTCCTGCCCCGTAGCCAGTTCCTCCAAATGCTGAACTGTCACCTCCTCCCTGCTTCCCTGAAGGTCCTGAACCATTGATGAGAATTCCACCCTCTCCACCTTTTAGACTAGAGCCCTTAGACTCGCCATTCACACCTGAAATAATTTTGAATGATACCTCACCTTGGATTGACCGAAAGTCCTGCAACTGCATTTTAGATGGCAAGGTGACAAGTTGCTGGTTTATTGATGTTCTTTTTTATTATTCTAGATATTGGATCTGTAGAGGACTGTTCAATTTAACTTAAGATGTAAAAAACGTCATGAGGTATTTTGTGCGAAGCGTTCAGTACATATAGGTATGCCGATCATGCCGAACAGAGAGGAAACTTGTAAACAGCCACTAGATCTTATAGATGATTATCGCTTAATTTTTGTTTTTTTTAATCCAGACGCATCGCCGGGTAGTTTAAACTGACCTATTTTGGAAGTTGGATTTCACCCAGAGGATTGCAGGTGCAAGTATTGCACGTGTTTCTCGGGTAGATAATTGGGGCCTTTCTACGAAGCCATACATTTTATCATCGATATAGCGAACAGATTACCTTTGGTTATTTTGCTCATCCGAAGGTGTCTTATTCCTTTGAGTTGACTTAAACTGTACTCAGATTTGCTCTTTGAACACCCAGGGCCTCCAGGGACAGCAAGGTAATTTCCAAAGTGAGAAGATCCTCCATTAGATATTGATTCCACACTGTGGTCTTTAGCGCCTAATCCTCCTCGTCCCACAGACACATTAATGGCTGCTGGACCGCTGACATGAACAATGTTTACTGCCACATCACCACTCTTACCTATTTCTCGCCTTATCCCACCACACCCGCCTCCCCCTCCTCCGACGGCGAGCACACGCAGGCGATATGTATCATTTGGAACGAAGAAAGTTGTCGAGTTGTGGAAAAGAAATGTTGCTGTCCCGCCTGATGAAACAAAGATACTTCATTCATTGAAAATAGATTTACTCCATATTGAGTATTTTAGTGTCGCATATCCGTGAATGTCGTCTGTTTTATTTACCTTACAATGTAATGAAATGTGAGAATAAGTAGCTATGGGATTATGTTCCTAAATCTATGAGTCTTTTCAGGCTTGGGTATTGTATGAATCTCATCTCTCTGTTTGAGAATTTTTCTTACGTTGTTAATAAACAGGGAGAGCGCTAGTGGTTTGATAAAGCAAAGCTTAGGTTCAAGAGAACGTATTTCTCAAAATCAGTTCAGGTAATAAGATATGATTTTAGTTCGATCAATCATGACGAAAATGTTTTGGACTTTTTTTTTTTAAATTTCAAGGAGTGTTTTCATAGCAGGGGCGATAGCCTCATGCTATGGTGAAATTCTTTGATATCCCATGCCTTTTTTTAATATTTGAGACAATCAAACAAAGAAACAAACAAAAAACTACAGCAACGCATTTGAGATCTTTTAAATTCAAATAGATACTTTTGTCGTACTCAGATTAAGAAATTCAACAGCCTTAAATTATTAGAGCTGAGGAACGAAATGTATTATCAACACACATTGAGTGGTAGTTTACTCTTTAATGAACAAAGATAAATTTAAAAAAAGATAGAAAATAGCAATAATTAAAATGGAGAAAATCAATTATTTACAACCCATAGAAAAAGGTAGAAAAAAAAATCTCACAAAAATTTGAACCAGCAGATTGTTTAATTTTATTAGCGACAAGACCACATGATCTTTGGTGTGACCTTGCTTTGGAAGATTTTAAAAGGGACGTGTTTTAATTTATGGTTTCATCTCTAGGACCTCAAAAGTTTGCGGCTGCAACATGGATGTTGAATTTTCTCTATAGCTTGCATTTGTGTTAACGACATTGATAATAATACAACGATTTGAAGGTAGGCCAAGTATTACATTGATAAACTGATCATGCAGTCTGAAAAAAATTTTCAAAAGATGATGAAAGAGGATTGATTTGATACTAATACAGGAAAAGCGCATTCCAAAGATTAATCGGATCAGGTAATTCATAAATATCGAGTTCATAAATTCATAAATCACTGATTTCCTTTAAAAATTATAGCGTGTATATATCTGACTCTCTTGTGAAGGATAGATGCCCATTCTGTGTACTCATAGTTACTTCAGTGCATGTTACACCGAAATTACATTTCAACTTAAGGATTCTGTCTTGGCCAAGGCAAAACGTTGATAACTTTTATTTTAAAACATTTTTCCAACACTGATTAATGCTCACTAACAGGAAATATTTCTTGCTACATCTACGGTTATGAATGTGTTTCTCTTTAATTTTCCCGTGAGGTCGTTTGAGAAAAAAAAGGAATATAAATATCCCTACGGCTATAACTGCGGCTGTGTAAACATCTATCTTTCAGATCATCTCTGATATTTTCAAAGATTTATGGCGTATTGATAATGCTGTTTCAGGTGACGATCGAAATAAATAGCAATCAAGTAATAAAAAATTCAATTTTTTTTACGATGTGAAAGACTCGGCAGTTTTTTTTCAAGTAACTCTTTCATTTTAGTTTTAAATTAAACATTTTCAGGATATAAATGAATGACGTCGTCTGAGAAAACTAGTTTTTGGTGCAAACAAGCGTAACAACGATTTGCGTTGCCAAAAATAAAAAGTCTTCAAGATTTCCCCTCTGTCTTTCTCCTCTTTTTTGTTCTACTTGTTGTTTAGTTTTTGTTTTTGTTTTTTTTTTTCTTCTTTGAACGGATACATAACCAGGAACTGAAGGTGACATCTATGTCTCTTCTTTTCGAGAGGATAAATATTGACCGCGGTGTCATTTAATTTCTGTGGGTTTAGAATTTACCCGGGATAAATATTACAACGTAACAATTTCATTCAATGGCGACATAGATATGTTACCTTCTGTTATCGTTTCTTAAGAATATAAAAGCTCGGTGACAAACGCGAGTAGAGATATAGCGCAAAATGTATAGACCTCAATTTTCATAGCGATGAAGACATATATTGTAGTCAACACGAGAGAGACTTCTTTTTGACTTCGACTTCGCTGTTTTGCTCATAAACATAAATATTTAAATTCAAAGGTAATTTTTTAATCTTCCAAGGAATTAGTCAATGCTCTTCTACTTTAGGTCCTAGATTAAAAATCAAAACACTCTGATATAATCGGATTAATCTGAAAGTTTTTATTTAGATCTGATAGCCAAAACTGTCCTTTCCTGTTTTTGAAGTGGGTGTGTTTTACATTAAATGTAATTATGTCGCTAACGTCAGTACGTGACTTATAGTGAAGTCAGCGTGCCAGTTGACACTTGCCTCTGGTAATCACGCTGAGGTAAGACAGGATTTGCTGGTTTCCAATTGACTTAAATTAGAAAACAAGGAAAAAGGCAATCACGTTCGTCGTGGTCTTAATGCGAATAAATTCGGCCAAATCTCTGCTGCTTCCTTTAATCCAATATCCGTTTGACGTACCAGAACTAAAGAATCCTGTCGAATGTTCTTTACAATTGAATTTACTTCGATGAAAGTGCAATTAAGACATTCTGATTTCACCGAAGAAACTGATGACGGATCCGAAAGGGAAATGATGTAATTTGGAGAATATTCATAAGTAAAAGCCATGGTTCGTTTACCATGCTATAAACTATAAATTGATAGCCAACAAGAAACACTTTCTTTTAACCGGGGCTGGAAAAGATGACGAGGAGATGAAAATGAGGAGGGCAGAAAACATACCAGCAGATCCTCTGATTCAAGTAACTTCATATAATTTTCACTATTTAAAGTCCTCGGTAAATTGCGGCCTTTTTCTTTTGCATAACTCTTCGTTGTGACTGTGTTTAAGTATTAACGAGTAGGATCAGTTTTTGACTATGTAACTTCCGAATTAAGATGATACGCAGTTGAGTTTGTAAAGTGGAAATCCAAGATGCTACTCACTATTTGTCGCTGAAACGACAACATAAAATTCGAAATAAGAGTGGAGATAGATATCAAAATCCTGAAATCTCAGGCACTCAAGTTTGCAAAAAAAAAAGAGGTCCAGAAATATCAAGTATTAAACATGCATAAGACATGTAATCGTTCTCGCTGTAGCAGCCCGCACCCATGAATTACATAGATTTCTGATTATAAAAATTATTCTAACAAGTTTGAAGGAGATATTCTCATGTAGCTTGTAAGTTACGATGAAATGTTATACAGAAAAACTGTGCAATAACAGAAGAGCTTTTCGGGTGGTCTTGGGTAATTTTGGTAGAAACGAGGTTGTTACTTAGCTTTTGTAGCTCGAACAAACCATCAAACATCCCGGTTAAGCTATCTTGGTCGTCCTCAGCAAATTTGCACTTATAACAGTTTCGATCGGTCCGTAACAGCTATATGATATGATTTTCTCTTATCCAGTGCAGAGACTGAGATGGAAACATTCAGTGTCCCTGAATTTTCATTAGTCCCATCTGTACCTAGAGGAAATTCGTAACAGTAGGACTTTTGCATATGGGGTTGCACTGGTTTACTTGTTTCACTTCTCCAGTTAATTGGAAGCATGCGGATCCCTGTGGAGCGGTTCTTCTTTAGCATTGACTTGTACAACCATAACACCGCAGCATATTTGATTTTGAATTACCCACGTCAGTAGTGTAGAATGGCGTGTCCTGGGACAAAATCGCACATCTTTCTTAATTTATCCACAAATCAGTTTACTCACGCTCACGAGTGCTCATGAGTCAAGGACAATTTTCGTTAATTTATCGCTCATCTATGTTAATTTATCGACAAATCAGTTCACTCACGCTCACGAGTCTGAGACATTTTTCGTTAAATTATCGTAAATTCACGATAATTTATCACTTCTGTCCTTTACATCAAAAGTTTTTTCAACTCACGACTCATGAGTTGAAAGTGTCTCTGAGCGTGAGTAAACTGATTTGTCGATAAATGAACAAAGATGTGCGATAATTTAACGATTTTGTCCCAGGACCCGCCATTCTACACTACTCACGTCTTCTTTTCCCTTTAGTTCCTGTTATTACATTCAGGATGAGTGTTTACTTATAAAAATATATAGATGACTTTGAATATCCTCAGGCCCTTGATTTTGTTCGTTAAAATTCGCTGCATAAGAACCCAGTGCTTCACCTAAACAATTGATCTAGGTTTATTAGCAACAGCTTGTTGAGAAGATGCTCATCCATTTGTTTTTTATTTTTAATTTCAATTTTTCTGAGTTGACTTCTAATTGCGCCTTGCAGATTATCATGAGATTGGATCCAGTCTGTCGATGGCGAACTGGACCAATACCTAGTACTAAACCATGTATTACACAAAACCGCTACAGCTATAGCTATAGCAAATGATGCTTTTACAGACTCCTGTAAATGTAACATCCAAAACGACTCGATATGCAATTCCAATAACTTCCATGGTTAAAGATGATCTTCATTCCCGCTAGAATGATTCATTTTCCTTATGTTATTTTAATGTGTTTCAAAAGAAAAAGTTTAACAGTGTTTATTATTTAAGTAGAGCTCATATGTATTCCCTTACTATAGACACAGGAACAAATAACAGAACATTTAAGCAATCCGAAAAAAGGTCCAGTTTCTTCATGAAAGTTATTTGGACAATACTGTTTACATTACTTTTATGCTTTTATGGAGATATTGAGTGGAATAGTGATTCTAATACGTTTTGCCTCCCAATATTGCTTTAAAATTCGCTCTAGAACATTCACATCGTTTATCTCTGAGGTATCATAGTTAAATCAATATCAAAAACACTTTCTTTAAACAGGATGTTTGACACCCACAGGGATTGTTATATTTCATATTTCCTACTTGAAAAGGCAATTTTAAAACGCTCAGTATTAGAGTTCCTGCACAGCATGTCTTGATAATCATGTGACAGCAGCCAATTATTGTTTATTTTTCTTCACAGCTTTTGGTGTACATACTCGGGTATTTCTTTCAGAGAGCTATAAAATTTTATTTTCGATTTATAAAAAAGAAAATCTTACACCTTGAACCGGATTTAAAAAGCAGTAAAGAGGCGAAAGGAAGCGATAAAACACGTTACGTGCTGCAGCTACCTTCCTAATCATCAGTGTTTTGTTAAATAATTTAAAAGCCGCGACACTATATGCTCTTATCGCACCGTAGTAACTGAATTACCGACAGAAGAATCACTAAGAACGAAATGTTTTGAAATAAGTAAAACTGTGGTTGGAGCATGACGATGATAAATGGATGAAGAATTATCAAGAAGGTCACATGAAACTGAAATATGTAATTTCCAGACTTTTTACAGAGAACGGGATGATTGAGAATTATTTAAGTTACAAATGAATTTGACGATTTTTCAAATTCTGATCTCATCACCAATGAAAGGATCGAAGAGAAAAATGAGACAACGAAATATGCTAAGATAGACCTTGTAGATCCACCGGTAATGCTCAACGTTGATTTAAATAACAATGAGAAAAAAAAATGCGATTTCCAGAACTTTTCTCGACCCCCATTTGTGATTAGAGCAATTTTTTTTTCTTCATGATACAATGTTTAGAATTTGAATGACTGGTTATATCGCTTCGCCGATCATAATATTCTTAACACGATATCAGTATATGCGGCAACTGAACATTTATTTATTAATAAAAAAGCTTCTGAAACAAGGTCTTTTAGACTATTAATTCTTAAATTCTGAAAAATTGTGTCATATGCATTCTAAATAAACGTACAAAATCATAAATTTGGACCGTGGCTACCTAAAAGTTACGAGTAAAAATATCAAGTTCTTGACTTAAAAAAAAATAGAAGCCTGGTGACATGAAGCTGGAGGCAAAGATATATTCCAAAAACCCAAAAGTAAGAAAGAAAATAACAGCGATGCGAAGGAAGTGGGAAATAAACGTGATTATCATCCTTTTGACTGTAACTCCGTTTAAGAGCTTACCTTTCAATGAAGCCAGCAAAGTGTCTAGACAGACAAAAACATATACCAAATAGTGGAATTCCATATTTTTGTTGCAAGAAGATTTGTTTTTCAATTCTTACTAAAATGGCAGCCTTAACGTATAGGCCTTGCCTGAATTCAAACGTCTTTTAAATGGAAAATACTAGATGCGAAACAGAGACTTAAGCTTTAAAATATTGAAATTAATCTTTTGTTTTCGGGATTAGGGAGGTCTCAAAATAAACAGATGTCAATTGTTATGTTATTAAACTTTTTACGTCTTGACCAATCGCAAGCAAGTTGCGAAGATTTTTCTCGAAGAGTCCGATCTGAGGCAATTTTTAACCGACTTTTTAAGTTGGCGTAACACCTTGTTACCATCCCTATTTAACGACGCGACGTTAATCACCTTCAAGTTGTTTTCGAAAACTAAAGACGAGAGGGTGAAAATAAACATTAGCTTTTCTGCTCATAAAATCAGATCAGGTTGAAATTTAGGCGATGAGGACAGACTAAACAGTCTGCATTTTTCAGCCAAAAAAAAGTTTTGACCAAAAGCAAGAAAAATTTACATCACTCGTGTCGGAAACACGGAGACGCCCCCACGCGAGAAAAGTTTCTTTACCTTTGAAACCAGATATTTCGTTTTGTTTGTACGGTGAGTCGGTGACGGTTGATTGATTAAATGAGTGAGTGTTTCTGATATTTCCTGTCCCTTCCCCGCTCGTTAATTTCTTGGCTCGCTTTCAAAGGAACATAAAAGTCTCCTTTCCTGGTTAGCGATATGGTTTAGTTTTTCGGTATCAGGCTTTACTATTCTTGTGAGTTATTATGAAATTTTAGTGGAAAATTATTTACTCGTCACCCAAGAAAATCAGGTCCAGTGGAACCTCGATTTAACGAAGTGCCAAAGGACTGGGGAAATTGGATCGTTATATCGAGGGTTCGTTATATCGAAAACCTCGATTTAACGAATTTTCGGAAAAACAACCAAAATGTACGTTATATCTAGGTATGGTTAGTAAGTGCTGTTATTGTTTTTGTGTGTGTGTGTGGTGTGACGTTGTGCTTAATGTCGAAATGAAGCTACAGTACACTGTACGGGTCTGTACATAGCTACACCACCGGAAACTAAGCGATGCCATAGCTATGTATAGCAACAAAATTTAACAATTGCAAATTGTTTGATAAATGTCATAATAAAAAGGTTAATGAATAGCGCAACCGAACAGAAACTTTAAACGAAAGAAATCCACTTTACTTTACTACTAAAATTGTTGATCAAGACGCCCAATCAAAAATTCTTCCGGTCAAAATTGCCTAATTTTTTGTCATTCTTTACATTACTACTAAAATTGCTAATCAAGACGCTTAATCAAAACATTTTTCTTATTGCCTCATATTTTGTCTTTCGTTAAAGTACTCCTTTCAATCAAGCCGGGAAAAGCGCGGAAATTCCCTTTCTTTTGTGCCTGACTTGTCAAATGTCATAATGAACATACAGTAAACAGTGTGTACAATACTAAACAAAAGAACACTACCGTATACACCGAATGCAAGTATGGCGTCCAATTTGAATTGCCTGTGTTTTGGACTCACTAGCCTCGTCTTCACGGGGAAACACAAAAGGATTATTGCATGTGCGAGAGGCTAGTGAGTCCAGAACAATGGCTGTATCAGTACTGCACTGTTGATCTGTTTCGCATTTGTCTTTAGTGTTCTTCTGGATTGTGTTCGTTATAACGAGGATTTCGTTATATTGAGGCTCTGTGGCATACATTTTACTGTAACTTTAGCCAGGCTGAAAAGTATCGCTCGTTATACCAAGGACTTCGTCATACAGAGGTTCGTTAAATCGAGGTTCCACTGTAAAATGTTCTGCAGGGTTTGGATGCTTTTGAAAAGATTAACCATCATAGTAGAAAGTAATAAACAGTCCCAGTCTCAATTACTATAAAGGATATTTTGACAGTATATACTGTATTGTAAAACGCTTGAAGAGCGAAGGAAAAGAGTGAAATTTCAAATTTTCTAAAGTCCAATAATGCTAGCGAACCTAAAAGAATTGATTTGATTTAAAATTGCCAGGCATTGAATTGCTTAATATGCTGGTATTGATTCCTCCAAGTATACTCTATTTACTGTCTTTTATCATTACGTGTTCATGTCCATAGGAATCTGTACTGAGAATAAAATGGATTTCGCCCTACTAAGCCAATATAAGGGCTAACGCTCGAAACGTCAGCTCTTGTAATCGTTACGGTGGCCAATTTACCATTTCAACTTTGTTGATATATCCCAATATAAATCAAGATTGGGATGTGTTTCCGCATCATCAAACTGTCCAACACCCGTTTTTACTGAGCTCATCTTAATCATTTAACTTTTTTATTAGCTTATGGACGGCCAGAATTAAGACTGTTTTGACAGATTACACCTTTGCCCCCGTAACCTTTTTAGGGTCACTCATCAAAGAATGAGAATTTATGTAATACGGTAACAATTTGAAGATTTAGGATGCCTTTTTCGTATAGTTGATCCTCGTTCAATGCCCGTCTGTAAACTCTTGTTTCTTTGCTGCGCCCGGTCCGTACAAAAACGCCCCAGGGCCAATATTACCAAGTTTAGCTCAGGCAAGGTTGATAATTGATTAATTATATGACAATTGTTTATTTTGAATTTGTCGACTTTCGCGAGCAGAAACACAGTTTATGACTATTTCTGTGGAAGCGGTCCGTACGGCAAAATACAGACCAAATAAGATCCAATCAGTAGGCGCGTATTTACCTTGAGAATACCTTGCCATGTAACAAATACAGTTAATTTTCATCCTTTTTTTCTCACCCATAAAGATGATGAGCTGATCATTGCTTCGTTAGCCTTTATTGCAGAAGGATAAATTGCCTTTAAAGTTGCATTCTTATACGGGAAATTATCATATAATACTTTTTATCGGACGTAAAAGATGCAGTCTTTAAAAAATGATTAAAAGTTGTTAATCATAAGTTTACAATGAAGGCCTAAAATTCGACAAGATGTCTAACGAATGACTAAGAGCTTTCCAATGATCTGTTACTAACATGCATCGCAGTGATGGACGAAGACTTTCAGACGATGCACGAATTTTTTTAATGGGTTATTGAATGCTTTCTTAAAGCGCAGTTCTCGTGCACATGCAAACGATTTTATATCGGATTTTGATTTTGCTAGTTAACGGTCTTCAAGGCAGATAATTGTATAAACAGACATTTGTCTCTGTTGGCACATCCCCAGTCGCCACAAACTTTCATTTTCTCTTTCTGTAATAATCGGTTGCCAGAGCTCTTACCCAATCCACAAAATTTACAGCGACACGGCCCAAATAAACAATTAAACGAAGAGTGATCCAATTGCCTGACTCCCTTACGAGTATTTTTAAATTCTTACACAAGTTACTTCGGTTTGTATTTACGCGTAAAGATAGGGAGAGAAGATAAAATTAATATCTTGCACAGCGATGAAATAACGTGTTGATTATTGTTGCTTTTTTTAACAATAAAAGATGTCCTCAAACCAATCATTTTAACATTGTGTTCGTTAACTAACCACATGAAGACAAACATAAATTTGCAATGCACATTGAATATGAAATTTTAATTTTCATACAGATACTAGAAAATATAATGAAGTAAATAACGATAATCAACGAAGATAAAGAGGTCGTTTAAAGGATCGTGAGGGTAAAACTACTTGAAATGGTGAGTGAGTACGTTTTAAATATAATTCAGGGAGATGTTTTTCGGTGGGAAAACGAAGCAATCTTTCGCAAAAACCAACTGCTTCTTTACAACCCAGTTTTGTTTATAAACTTTGACTAGACGAGAAGAGAAATTCTCAAATTTTTTGGTGAGATGAAAAGTGTTTACGAAGGTTCTCTCACTGAATTGTACTCTAATGTTCAAAATCATTTTATTTTGTCTTTGGATCGATATTTTCCTTCTGGCGAAACTTGAGGTTAAAATAGTTTGTGCTTCTCAATGAGTAAAATAAAACTTTTGAACAAAAACACAAAGTTTCTTTATCCGGAACAATAGAGTAGTACCTTCGTTGAGAATATGAATATTAGATTGTGTTATCTGGTGAAAAAAATGTAGTCTTCAAAATGACGAAAGGATTGAAACAAGCCATTAAAACCTTTCTTTACATTCAAAGTGGCCAGTTAGTAAACTGTACGAAACAGCACATGTATATTTCAAAGAACTGAATCTACTCCTTTAAAATGAGATTCAGCTGGATTTAACATTCGTTATTTCTCAGATACGCGGGCTTTGATAATGAATTTTTCACGGTCGTACAAACTGGAGGCCGCCACAATCCCAACAATTTGCTTGTAGTAAACCCAGGACTGTAAAAACAAAATCATCGGCGTTACACTGTTGAGAACAAAAGCTTTCTATCGCTTTAACGCTATTGTTTCATCTGCCTATGGTAAACGTAGAAATTCAAATTAGTCAGTGTAACGGATTGACGGTCACGTCCTTTTCAGAGGAGAGTCGGCCAAGACCATATGTTCATATTTTCTTGCATGAGGTAAATTTATGGCTTTTCGCTAAGTTTTTAAGCCACTGGGCGAGCCAGCCTGAAATACAAACGCTCTTTGAGAGTAAGTTTTGTGGATATAGATAGAGCCATTTATCCGCGGTCACAGAGTTCACGGGGAAGTGTTCAGTAAAACTAACTTTGTAGGAGTCATTGATACATAAATGTGAACTGTGGGCATTCAACTTCCATTAACTGGTGTTAATCTGTGTGCTAACCTGCATTTCTGTTGGTATCATGCCTCAATCGAACAACTCTTTTTCCCCTAAGAAGCAAAGAAAACATCAAATTGTAGTGCGCAGAAGTCAACGCGAAAGCTGACAAATGTTTTCTCGCATTGAGCACTCGAATTCTCCTCCGTCTGTAGCATTAGATGGACATACCTTTCGGAGCACTAATTGAAAGTTTTGATTTTGTCTACAGCTGACTGAGTGATGAGGAGGTTATCTGTTTTTATACTAGTTATCTTTTTCTTGTCGTCACAGGCAAGCACTGACTTAGGAAGGTAGGAAACACATGCTATGTTAAGACGTCTTCATATTTTATCTTAGTAGCTGCTTCACGATGTGTCCTTCCTAAAAATATTAAGGCTAAACTTTAATTTGTAAGCTAATTTTCTTGTCAGTTCTTTCCATCCTCAACTTTCATCGTTCCTCTCTGGTTTATCCCGTTCGTTTATTTTTGGTCTTTTTCCATCTTACGAAACAATGCTTGAGACTTTTTCCGGTGTAAGGTAATTTGAATCGAAGTAATTAACTGCCTGAATTATCTTCATATGAACATTTTTAGAACTGAGAGAATTGTCGTTCTGAGGCCCTCTTCTTTTCCCGTACCGTTGTGGGTGACTCTCTCGATCTCCAAGGGTTGCCGACCTCGGGAGCAAACAAGATGAGAACCGGGGAAGAAAATAACCCTGGAGATTGACTTGAGCTAATTAATAGCGGGATTTCCACACAAAAACGTAAAAAGATCTTATAGGTATTTTGCAGTGACTCTACTGTAAAAATGACACCTGGATACGAATGAAGAATTTCTACCACTGCACTTTAAGTCACATAACTCAGCTAAGACAATCGATTGCACAAAAAAATATATATGACCATTGCATGACGTTAAGTGATCACTGAATATGTATTTGTCTCTTTAGAAGAAGTTATGAGAACACAACTAAAGTTCTCGACTCACTTACGGAAACTCCCAAATATGACAAGCGGATAAGGCCCTATCATGAAGGTAGGGTGTCAGTTTTGTCTCACACACTTTCAGTCAGTGACTAAGTAAGTCAGTCGCTTTATATGTCAGCCTGTCAATTACTCAGATTTTCAGTTGGTCTTTAGGTCAGTCATTTAGTCCGTCCACCAGTTATCCAGTTTGCCACTCAGTTACTAAGGTAGTACGGGTTAGTTAGCCAATTTGTAATATAAGCAAATATAAGCAGTTCTTCAGACAGTGAGACAATTAGCTACTAAATCAATCTGTCAGTCATTAGAGTATCAGTCTTTCAGTAAGTCAGCCGGTCAGTCCCTCAATAACTTTTTCAACTCATAGTCAGCCAAACATTCAGTCACTCAATAGGGTAGATTATCGGTCTGTTAGTCTTCGTTCAGTCAGTCAATTAGTCAGAGATCATTCGGTCTTTTACTCAGCCAGTTGTCCAGCCAATCAGTCAATCAGACCCGCCATTACTCCATCAAGTATGAAGGTAGGAGCATCGTTATTGAATTCATCTAATGAGATCATTGCCCCACAGGTCCACCTATGAACATTTCCGTGTACATGACAGTCGTTTCGTTTGGTGCAATAAAGGAAATAAACATGGTATGTAACAATTCTGCAAATTTGTTTGCAAACTGACAGTTAAACTGTGGAAATGGTGGAGAAAACAGCTATAGGAGTGTTCATCGCGCAGGATGCTTATGTGTGATAGACAAGCAGCTTTTAAAACCAGATGATATATATTTTCCATCATTTCTACGAGTTATTTAACCGATTGACCTGGGCAATTCTTAGTGAATCTTCTATTTACTGTATGTTTCTTCGAAAGGAATTTACGTTAGATATATTTTTCAAGCAAGCTTGGAACGATCCAAGATTGAGGCATGATCTTAAGAAACCAATTCTTCTTTCTGGAAGTGAAAAGGTCAAGTTCTGGCTTCCGGACACGTTCTTTTTGAATGTAAAGACAGCCAAGTTTCACCACGTTCCTGCTGCTAATAGCAGAGTTGTGATTAAATCCAACGGGGATATTGAACTCAGTGAAAGGTGAGTAGCTTTTACTCGAAATGTTACCCCGGCCTTTGAAATGGGAACAGAGAGCGGGGGATATTCGCCGAAGCGCAAAGTGTAATATTTTTATCTCTCTCCATAAAATTTAAGCCTCTATATAGCTAGAAACTTATCATTCACATAAAGTCAATCAAGCTTCGTTGCCATTGCTGTGCATTTCGAGATTGTCACCTCATTGACAAAAACGATTGGCATTTTCGTTTCGTTTTCTTTCTTTCTTCTCTTTAAGGCTAACAGTCTCTGCGTCATGTAGGATGAATTTAAGAGAATATCCACTAGACACTCAGACGTGTGTTCTTGAAATTTTAAGCTGTGAGTATAATTCTCCTTTTTAGCTGCGACATATTTCTTTATAAATTGAATTGAGATAACTTGGATGACTCTCATCACTTGTTTGGTAGATAATACGATGACAATTTACTGAAATGTAAGATGTCGATCAGCTCTAACATTTAAAAAGTTTAAATGGCTCAGTGAATTTGCCTGAATGATCTTTTCTCCAAGTTGTTAAGTTCATATCAAGCCATGTTTTTTATTAAATACCGATTGCTCACAACTTTGCCACAAAACGCATTTGGCATTTTGCTGTTTTCGTTGTTTTTCTAGACTCATATGACATTAATGACATGGATTACCATTGGGATGACGAGAACGCAGTAATAATTTTAGACGATGAAATGTCAGAGTTCGAACTTGCTGATGCGCAAAGTGAGCGAAAGCTTGTGAAATACGTCATAGGTATGCCTTGCAAGAAACTTTTACTCATTTAAATTTTCCCTTGGATACACATTGATTAAACTACACTAGTGAATCGAAGACAATAATTGTAGATTTATAAATCGAAGGATGTTCAGTTTTCATAATCAAACTTCAATGTGAGAGTAGTTTCTGCTGTGGCAAGGTAAGTACAAATTAAACGCTTTTTTAGTTAGTTTGTGAGAGTTAGCTTATAAGAGTCTATATCACAATGGTCCTGAGTATAAAACTCTTTTTAGTTTAGGAAACGAATTATAATCCTAGGGAAATTGTTGCATTTCATTTTCCATTATCATTAATAATTTCTAAATATCTTATTATGTTATTAATATCTTATTATGTTATTAATATCTTATTATGTTACGTTTATAATGAGTTTAATTACTCTCTGTTGTATACAACACAGCGGTCAAACAATGTGCATGCATGATAGTTTAAAGAAAATGAGAGAGATTTCCGAACGCGTGTCTGGCGTAGAGCGGAGAAGAAAAGGTAAATTTCTAACTATTCCAAGGCGTAGGACAAATGAAAGAAGAATTTTGGAGAAAGATTAAATCTTGGTCTTATTTCATTGTGAGATCTAAACAGCTTTTAACGCTGACGCTTCGTTTCGGTAATAAACGCAAATATCAGAACCTTTCTTCTATCCTTGCTGTACACAGTGTCCTCTATAAACATAGACCTGCTATCGTCACAAATATCTTTTGTGGCTCTGGTTCTTCCTTTTTTTCACACATTTCCTTCGGTGTTTACCGGAAACACCACTGTGAACACAAAGAAAACTACAGCCTGCACGGCCAACTTTACAGACAACCTCATTGCGCCGCTGTGCAAAGTGTAAAAAAAAAAAAAAAGCACGCGAGTGTAAACTATCACAAAGTGGGTAAAGTCTAGAACAACAATTTGTATAAGTCTCGGCCTTAGAAACTTCGACCTTTCCCTAGAAACTGCGAAAAACTACGTCTCGCTTAGATTCTCCATGTTTACAACAGCAAATTATCATCAAGTGCGCATGTGCAAGCATTTGACCGCTATGTTGTTGTATGCACAAGTTCGTCTTTTGAAAGATTCATATCTCCTGGACGATACGTGTTTGAATAAACAACTTCATTGTATTGCATCCGGTGACTGTGGCAATCTGTATATTTTTTATTTTTACAGGAACATACACCCATTTGGTCGCAAAGTTTGTTTTCAAAAGAAGACTGGCGTATTCCTTTATTCAAATCTATTCTCCAACGTTCCTCATCGTCGTTCTTTCTTGGTTGTCATTCTGGATTTCTAAAGACGCAGTTCCCGCTAGGATTGCTCTTGGAATTACCACAGTGTTGACCATTGTTACACTCATGGGTTCACTCAGAAATTCTGTCCCTAAGGTAACGTAACGATTTTCACGCATTAATCTAACTTTTACCCCCACTTTTCTCTCTGTGATTGAATAGTCCTGATCATGACGAAGCTAAGATGCACGACTTAGAGGCACGAGGCAGTCACCTTCCCAGATTTGGTCATTGTTTTCCTGTTATAATATAGAGGAATACTTTTATCCAATCATATCGGCATTGTTAAAAACGCTTCCCATATTAGATTATTGGTCAATGCCTAGAAAAAAATCTATATGCGCTCTGGCTAAGAGGGCATGGCCACTTTTCTACAAATAAATGATGCACGTAGGCTTCTCCTGTCTTAGACAATCCAAACTAATAAAGCTGTTATTTACATATATGAGAACGATCCTTCGCAGTAAAGCACTATTTGAGCAATAGTGAAAATCAGACCTGAAAAAAATTTCAGGCCTGTACGGGACTCGAACCACTGACCTCTGCGATACTAGTGCAGCGCTCTACCAATTGAGCTAACAAGCCAACTGGGAGCAGGCCATCAAATTAATTCGATATAAACCCGTAGATGATAAATCAAAAGCTGTTATTATCTCTCCTCTGAAAGGTGTCGTACATCAAAGCAGTCGACTCATATCTCATTGTCTCCTTCATCTTCGTCTTTGGTGTCCTACTAGAATACGTTGCAGTTCTAATGCATAGCGAAAGAAAACGAAAGAAGGCAAAGAAGAAACAAAATTTACCATCAAAAGATTACGCGTTAGCGGAAATGGAGATAGAAAATTTCAATGCTAATGCAGCTCCAAATCATACAAATACCCCCATTATATCTCGATCGAGATCAGCACACAGCCTACCACCCCGGAGGTCACCATCATCGTATAGTTTACCGGTGCGCCCAGTATCGTCATACAGTTTACCACCAAAATCTGTCCTTCGAAGTTCGTACCCACGTCAGGTCAGTACTGAGTAGTGCAGAAAGAACAGGATGATCATTGGGAACAGTTGTAAGTTTTCGTTGTAAAACCTGAAAACAAGAAGCCTTTAACGACGACGGAAGAAGTTGGATGGAGAGCGAGAGGAATTTTTTAAACTATAAATTTGTAAACCTTTTCACCTTGATCGTGTTATTGAAAGAAAGGCATCTTTCCGTAATCATGTTTAGCTAATGGTCTCGCCGGATGATAACAACGACAGTGGCGGATCCAGGGGGAGAGTCCAGGGGGTCCGGACCCCCCTATCAGACCTGACGCTAAAAACTTTGAGACTGAAATTCTTACAACCGCAGGATCGTATATCACTTTTTAACTGGCTGACTTTTTAAATTAATGAATCCAAGTAAAAGGTAAGCGGCCAAGGAATTATAACGTGCAACCGCTACTGGTGGGAGGGGGTGTGGGGGGTGTGGGGGAGAAGTAATTTGCCTCAAAAGAGTCCAACAGTCCTTTCTGAACCAAAGTTTGGACCCCCTATCAAAAATTCCTGGATCCGCCACTGGTAACGAGTAACGATAACAACAATGAATATTACTCATGTGAAAATTTTGCCGGACATATGAAAAAAACTTATACATCTATACTTCTGTGGCTCACCAACTTTCTATACTCTCTTGAAATAAGGTCTAACAGATTCTCTTCTGAAATCATTCACTGTTTCGTTTGATTTTTTTTGCAGAACGTTCCTGGACCAGCTATCCAACATAGTCCTTACACGACTAACCCACCCAGAACAACTATCATTCAATGCATCCCGAGCTTCTGTTTGGCTCTTGGGTCAGATAATGAAGTGGATATCTTCGACAGAATTGCCCGAATCATTTTCCCTTTGACTTTCTTTATGTTCAACATTGGCTATTACTTCCGATATTCAAACTGAAAGAACTAGGGCGAATTTACGTAACACCTGTTAGAATATAGAAGAGTCCGTGTCGTTAAAATCGCTGTTTACATCATTTGATTGTAAGTTTAGCAGATATATAAATTTTAAAAAAGAAAGTAGTGAAACATGAGAAAAGGAAAGGTTATCCATAAAGTGCAATTAAAGTTCAACTTCCTTTACTGGGCTTATAGGCTTACACAAAACTGACCAATCTGATTACAGGAAACGGACATTGAATTTAACCAAAAATTCGTTATCACCGTTTCTTATTAGTCCTAAGTAATGAAAGGATGACAGGTTCAGTGGAATTTACTTGGAATTACTGTTCGTCTCCTATATTGTGATTTCGTTGAGTTTGTTTGAGCGATCCGAGGTGAAAGTGATGTTCCGTAAAAAGAAAGATTTAACAGAGTTAATTTGCGTTTTTGTTTTAGCTATTTTCAAACATATGGCAGTTAAAAAGAGAAAATATGACAAAGTCCAATAAGAGCGGTATCAGTTAATTTCATTTCGATTTCGTCTCAAGTTCATACCTATGGAGATGTTATAAACGCCCCTTTGCAGCATGTTTCAGAAGTTCAAAAGGATGGGTACAGTCATGATCAATCGCACAGCCCCTTCCTTAACGGAATCCGAAGGCTGACATTGAGCACTTATCTTTTGCTAGTCAGTTGTACCTTATAATAAAGACTTGTTTTAAATACGTTTGGTAATTGCGCAAAGAAAAAATCAACTTGCTTAATTACCGTGTGAGGAAAGTAAAGCGCAACACTTTTACAGACGCCTAGTGGCTCTTCCCAAACTTAATCGCAAATCAAACGAAAGTATTTATGTCAAAAATGGGTCATATTGTAATTTTTATTACTATTACTACTAATTTATTTACAATTATTTTGTATTTTGTTACTGTTTAGAATTTATCTAGAGTCAAGCATCTACCCTCTTCAGAACACTCATATTCTTTCTGATCTCTAAGCTCTGAAATTTAATAGATATTATCATAATAAACGAAATGGCTAGTAGATTCTATCGAGATCTTTGATTGCATAGTGGTGCCGCCCCGAGAGGTGGTGTAGGGGATATTTTGCTATGGAACTCGATGAAATTGATCGATCTCTACGCATATGAACGGTAACCACCGTCTCATATGCGATGTAAAATTTATCAAACCGGATTTTAGCCTCACTGAAAATTATCCTGGTCAATAAGATGATCAAACAAAGCAAACAGCGAGTGAAGCAGGTTAATCTGTCTGATCTGTGTTCAATGTTGACCTTTCCTGATTGTTATTTGAAGTCACATGCTTGTTACATTTCGGAAGGTGGATGATTTCCAAATGACGACAACTCATAAAAAGCAAAGTAAAACGAATTAAACAGGGCGTAACAACAAGGAAAAAGATAACGACATGCTCGATCAATTGAGCTGGCTTCATTCCTTACAAAAGCATAACGCACGTACTCTTTGGCCTTCTTTACTGAGATATATTTCCCTTCCTTTAGCTTTTCTTTCGAAGATTCCGGACTCTCTACTTTGATATCTTGCAATTCTTTTATTCCATTAAATACGTCTATCTGTCATTTAAAAAGGACGTCGCAGGTTAAAAAATATATTTGACGACTCATGCTCAATAAGGTAGAGTCGCTCTCGGCTATCGCTTCGAGCGACTATTACCGTCTTTCGTGCTTAGCAACGTTGCACGTGTATTCCATAACTCAATATTGTACGCTGTGGTGCTTACCATTTGTTCGGGAAATTGACGCCTAGCCCTGAAAGTGACTCAGGATTACAAATTTCCCAAATAATATAAAGTACCGGCTGAAATAAGTTAACGAAGTTGGTTACGTTTTTCTTCTTTACAAGAGGCAACACAAAAGCAGTCTGATTAAGTTCCTGTGTTTAGTTTAAGGTAATGGTTTTCGATTTATCCCAAGAAAAAATCCGCATGGTGAGGCCCTATCTTTTATAAACCGCCCATGAATAAGTTCATGAGAAAAGCTGTGATGAAATTTCATATGATATAGGGAAATATTACCTTTGAGCCGTTTGCCTCCTCGTTGTTCTCCTCTGAGAGAGGTGCACTACTGGCACGTCTTTGGCGCTTTATTCCAGTGTTAAGCAAAACTAAAACGTACTCAAAGACTACCGCAAAAAGAAATGCAAACGAAACAATAAAGTAGATATCCACCGCCTTTATATAAGATACCTGAAATGTAAAAACACGGCACGAGCAAAA